GGGGGCAGTTCCTGAGGAACAACACTGTGGTTGACCTTTAGACTTTAAATATCATGACACATGCACACACACATATGGAAAAACACACCCAAATAGGTGATTTTTCACTTTCTGTCTGTTAGAATTCAAGGAAGTTGATTTTAATAATAATAAAAAACAAAAACAATAGCCCAGAGGTAGGAAACCCAAGATTAAAATGTCACCCCTAGGTGACAGGGACCCAGTCTTTTGTCTCTTGTTCCTCTGAGTGGTATGGTTTTTATAAAGCCAGGCCATGACTCAGAGTGGCTACAAAAACTGTGGCCTTTATAGCCTTATTCCAGCTGGAAGAAGAAAAAGGAGAACGGACTTAGCCTCCTCCTTTCTAAAGAGATAGTAAACACAGAGCACAGAACACATACTTTAATCTCAAGCAGAAGTAGATAGAGCTCTATAAGTGTGGTCTATATAGCCAGCTTCATGTCAGCCAGGGTGTGAGTGTGTGTGTGTGTGTGTGTGTGTGTGTGTGTGTGTGTGTATGTGTGTGTGTGTGTGTGTGTGTGTGTGTGTGTGTGAGAGAGAGAGAGAGAGAGAGAGAAGGGTGTTCAAAGAGAGAATGGTTAGGTCTTCCTATAAGAAAGGATAGAAAATGAATGAGCTTATAACTAGAATCTTTGCAGGTCTAGATAAACTCAGGATCCTGTCCTAAGGGAGAGGAACTAAGTAGCTCAGAAACAGCGCAGTGTGGATGTGGTGAAATACAGTACAGGTTGAGGGGCTGGAGAGATGCTCAGTACTTAAATGCACTTGTTGCTTCTGCAGAGGACTGGAGTTCCATTCCCAGTACCCATAGTGAGCAGCTCCCAGAAGCCTGGAATTCCACCTCAAGAGGATATGACTCCCTCTTCTGGCCTTGGAGGGCACTGCACTCATATGTGCATACCCATACACAGATACACACAGATAAACACACACACACACACACACACACACACGTTTAAAAATAAAATAAGGGTAAAGGCCAGAGCTGGAGAGATGGCTCAGTGGTTAAGAGCACTTTTTGCTCTTGCAGAGGACTTGGGTTCAGTTCCCAGCATCCACATGGTAGCTCATAACTATCCCATGCACTCAGGGGGTGCACATTCATACATATAAAAAAATAAAAATATGAAAACAAATAAATAAATAATAGTAAAATCAGGGGTTTGAGAGACAGCTCAGAGGTCAAGAGCACTGGCTACTCTTCCAGGAGACCTGGGTTTAATGCTCAGACAGAAACTACATGGAAGCTCACGACCATCTCTATCTCCAGTCCCAGGTGATCCGACACCCTCTTCTGGCCTCTGAGTCCATTGCATGCATGTGGTGCATAGATGGAGATACAGGCAAAGCACCTATACACATAAAATACATTTTAAAAAATCTGAAAAGAAATAAAGTATGTAAAAAGTAAAATAAAATATAGGTTGATGATCCCTGACCCAAAAGCACAAAAGGTCAAAATGCTCCAGAATTTAAAAGCTTGGTATGCCACAGTAGAAGATTCTAGCATGCAAGGCAAGTGAAGTCAAAACACGGCTCCCTAACAACAGTGGGTAAAATTACCTTCAGGCTGCATGTATCAGGTACAAAAACACAAAGGAATGCCTTTTTTTGGACTTGGGTCCCATAACCAAGCACCAACTCCCCTCCCCTCCCCTTCTCTTCTCTTCTCTTCTCTTCTCTTCTCTTCTCTTCTCTTCTCTCTCTCTCTCTCTCTCTCTCTCTCTCTCTCTCTCTCTCTCTCATACACACACTTGTTAGTTTGTTTTTTAAGATAGGGTTTCTCTGTGTAACCCTGCTTATCTCAGAACTCAATTAGAACCAGTCTGGCCTCAAACTCAAGAGATTCACCTACCTCTGCCTCCAAGTGCTGGAGTTAAAGGCATGCTCCAAATTTAAGCTATATTATTTTTTTAAATATTTATTTATTATGTATACAATATTCTGTCTGTGTGTATGTCTGCACGCCAGACCTCATTACAGATGGTTGTGAGCTGTCATGTGGTTGCCGGGAATTGAACTCAGGACCTTTGGAAGAGCAGGCAATGATCTTAACCACTGAGCCATCTCTCCAGCTCCTTAAGCTATATTATTAATGGATATACAAAATTTTTGGATTTCCCCCCTATCTGAAAACTGCACCAAAATCCAGAATACTTGTTGTCCCAAACATTTTGGAACCGGGATGTTCAACTTGGGTAGTGTGTGAGCTTAAAAGAGACAGCGTCAGGAGATGGCCATGACTAGGAGCATGGTGACTCCCACCTGAACTCCCAGGAGGGAGGGTTGAGGACAGTTTGGGGCCAGCCTGGTCTACACAGTAAGTCTGAGGCCAGGCAGGGCCAAGACTCTGCCTTAAAGAAAGAAAGAGGAGTTGGAGGAGGAAGAAAGGAAAGAAAGAGGGGGAGGGAGAGGGAGGGAGGAAGGAAGAAAGGAAACATGAGCTGGGTAGGTTTTTCCAATGAGGTCCAAGCCTTGGTACTCTCTGGGTTGACGCTGTTGAGACAGAACCTGCAAGATCCAACGTCTAGTTGCTCCACTGTTGGAACAGAGCCACGGTTTCCTAGAGTTGGGCCAGGTTCAGAGGGAACTGGGGAGGCTCTAAAATGTATATGGTTTCATCTGAGGTTGATGAAGTGTTCTAAAATTTGCTGAGGTGATAACGGTGTAAGTGGGAAGATATGGAAAGCCATGAGACCCGCCTTTGGTGAAGGGAGGAAACGCCTTCTCCCAGTTAAAGCATTAAGACATTTTCTCTTTCATTCACATCTGTCTGCAGGCCAACTGAGTGGTGTGTCTGCCTTCTGGCCTTCTGTACACTGCACCCTATTCATGAGACTTCCTTCCCATCTCCTCTCCTCCCATGAAAACCTTTCAGTTCTGTGGCCAGAATCATGCCCAGACTCACTGGACAGGGCCTGAGGCTACAAAAAATTGGGTGTTCAGTAGATACTTCCAAAACATCTCTCACTATGAACAAGAACAGAAGCCCTCACACCGAAAGCCACAACTCCATAGAAAACCCTGAATCCCTGATTGTCACATGCTATTGTCAATCCACGGCCACACTAATCCTATCCAAGGGGCTTTATGTCCTCATTAGGCCACTGGGAGATATTAAGTCCCAGTGTACAAGACACAGGGACACCAAATAAACTATCAGCCTGTCTCTGCATATGTCTTAAGACTTTTCTCAACACGGGCTTTTATATTAAGTTAGAGTTGAGGAATGTCAAGACAGCATTTCTCTGGATGGTTAGATTTGACGCCTGTCTTGCAAAGCCTTCCCCTCCCCTCCTGTGCCCGCATCTGCTTCAGGGAATGTCTGATCATGTTGTTTTGTTCCAAACCTCGGTATTTTCCTATCTCTACCATCAAGATGTGAGTTCCTCAGGGCCAGAGACTTGCAAAGGCAGGGACGCAGAGTGTCCCTAGAAACACTTGCTGGATGTATCGACTGGTAGCTTGTAGGAGTAGCCAAATTACAGTTATGAGGTAGCAATGGAAATCATTTTATGGTTGGAGGATCACTACAATTTAAAGGGTTATAGCATTAGGAAGGTTGGGCACGTGCTCTGGAGCATCATGGGAGGCTCCAGGTCACCGGAGTCTGAAGATGCCTTCTGAGGCAGGTTTGGTAAAGGGAGGTGAGATGTTTTCCACGCCAGCGTGAAAGGGAGGCAAGCCTGGTTGAGAATAAAGGATCTTGGGGCAGAAGCTGACCTCATCGCTCTCTTCAGGAGAAAAAGGGCAGGCTCTCAGAGAAAGCCTGAGAGCCCCTCCCTTACTTTCTCACTGTGACCGTGAGAGAATGTTGGGACTCTACCATCTCGGGAGGTGGCGGTTTGATGCTCTCCAACATGGGCTGCTACTGCTTCTGCATGTCCCGCAGGCCATCATTGCCCTCTTCAACAGCTCCAAGGGGCCCAGGCACTGTGTCCGAGTCAGGAGCAATGATCACATGCAGCCTGCTGTGATGTTTCAGTTGGGTACCAGTTCACAGTGGCCTGTTTTCCAGTCCTCATGTCCTCTGGAACCTTGGGGAAGATCCAGCCACGGTAGGGTAAGAGAGTAAAGTCTTCAGGGAAGCCAGACTGCTCAAGAGCTGCTGGCTGCAGGTGGAGGCCAGACTTTGTCAATGGTGTCACATGATAAAGCTTCCCTCTACCCACCAAGCCTCTCTCCACCTCTGTTCCGCATCTTTCTCTAAGAGGACCCCACTCAGAACTTCGTGACAGGTGGGAACACAGAAGGTAGAAACCCCAGTGGGGTCTGAAGTCGATATGGTCTTCTGGCCTTCGTGAACACATGGTGCCTCTCTGACTTTTCCAAACATGCAGATAGGCTCTTCTCGGCTCTTTGATCTTAAGGCAGGAACTTGCGGTCCTCTACCTCCCCACTATCTCATGTCTCCTGCATAAGAATGTCTCCATGCAGGTAGCAGATGGTCAGGGCTTGCCACAGTTAAGAAGTTTCTTCTGATGTTACATCACTCAGGTGAAGAGAAAGAGAGGCCACTGTGCTCAGCCCACCCCTCTGGGACCCAGGAGCTGTGCCCTCTCTACCTCTCTACCTCCCACCCCCACTCCCAGCTCTATCTCCTGCTGCAGCTTGACACTTCCAACCAGATCTGTTGCTTCCACACAAGTCCCTGAATCCTATACTTCCGGTTCTCAGTGCCTTCCCTCACATCTGTGGCTGAACTTTGAGATGACAGCCAACCGCATCAACGTCAACCTAAGAGCACACATGCCCCGGAGGCTGGTTACACAGGCACCGGAAGGGGTGAACCTTGTGGTGGTCCCTGTATGTGGGACCCATAGGTTGGTGGGTTGGGGAGAGGAGAGAGCAGAGTGGCCTGTGAAGCCTAGGTAGCCACCTTCCTCTTGTCACATGTCAACCAGGGGCCAGGGTGACTCAGCGCTAGAGACAGCTTCCGTCTGACGATCCATTCCTCAACCACACCACCCCAGGCCTGAACGCCTTCTCCAGGTTTGGGTCCTGATGTTTCCAAGATGTCATCGTGAGATCACAGCCAGGCCCCTCAGTCTTGATCTTCTGATGCTATGCTCAGCACTGTGAAGGTTCAGGTACATTGCACAGTCTCTCTGAGTCTGAATTTCTACATGTTTCTATTGTTGGTCTTGTTATTTTGAGACAGAGTTTCATTACGTGGCCCAATTGACCTGGCATTCACCGTGTAGTTCAGGCTGGCCTGGCACTCACCATGAAGATCAGGCTGGCCTCAAACTCACAGAGATTCACCTACCTCTGATCCAGCCCTGGATTTTTACATCTGAAAAGCGATCAGTCAGTCGGTCAGTAGGAGCCCTTCTGGCTGTGAGAACAAGGCCCAGTTGGCCTGAACAGGAGTAGGAAGAAAGGGATGGCCAAGCAATGGCAGTGGGTACTGAAAGGAGAGGGGGTAGTAAAGGGTTTTCAGAGAAAGGCAGGGCACCCGGGAGGATAGGAGGGTGCTGGTGTCGGGGTGGGGGAGGTCAGATGGACGACAGTAATGAGAGCAAGGAGCGCAAGCACACAGCCCAGGCGCATGCGTGACGTGCTCCAGGTCTGCAGAGTCCCGTGGTCATCTCCACTCAGCAGAGGAGACCACGCAACAGGCCACATATTTCTTAAGGTTGGGCTCCAGAACTGGATTCAGATGCTCTCAAGCCTGTACCCCAAATGCCAGGCTAGCACTGAAGTGTCCATCTGCATGCTGGAGGTCCTGACTAGGAACAGTGAGGAACAGGCGGGTGGTCCCACGAGCCCTGGGCTAGCTGGATCAGGGAAGGAAAGATGGGAAAAGACAACTTGCTGGGATACTGTGGAGAGGAGGGTCTTTGTTGCTAAGCAGCTAATTGCTGACTATTCTGTCTTTTCAACCTTGTAAGACCCCTAGATGGGCACATCTGTAAAGACGTGATTTGCTTCCTTCCTTACACTTTTCCCACCTACATTCCACCCCATCCTGTGGTAAACACCTACTCACATGGACGGCCCTCGCAGTGCTGTGATTTCTCTAACCCCCCACCCATTAGCAACTGGCTCTTCCCATGAGCCAACTTCTCCATCCTGGGCACCAGGCCTCAACTCAGAATTTCCTGACCAAGCTCAAACTCTCTTTTTCTTTTAAGCAAAATTTAAGTGTCTTACATTTATTTATTGTTGCGGGTATGCACCATAGATACTTGGGCATGCATGCACATGTGCCACAGTGCCTATATGGGAGCTCAGAGAACAACTTGTGAAAGCCAGTTCTTTCCTTCCACCATGTAGGTCCTGGGAATTAAACTCAGGTCATCAGACTTGGTGGCAAGGGCCGTAACCCGCTGAGCCATCATGACCTCACCACGCAGCCCACTCCCTAGCATGCCAGACTCCGTATGTGACTCCCACAACATCTGTCTGGAGCTGCCCTGTGACTCCACCCCCTCCTCTCTTCCACCCACCTTCTCATTTTCTTTAATGAGTATTTAATGTCTTCCCAACTCTGAAATCCTCTGGTCTCTTTTGCACACCTCATTCTGGTCAGAGGTGTTTCTTTGGGATGTAGAAACCAACAGATGAAAAAAAAAATAATTTCACTTCCTACAGCCCTGTCTCCAAACCTGAGGGTCCCCCCACCCCTCTGCAGGAGTGTGGACTGTGTTTCTGCTGAAGCCTGGGGCCTGGGGCAATCCCCTCACGGGCCTTCTTGATTCTCAGGAATCTGAAACCTAAATCATCTTCCTTCCTCTGCAATGCTAGCACTTCTCATTAATATTTCAGTGTGACGAGGCAGAGGCAGCCAGGGGTCTACCATGTCTCTCCTCATCCTCTTTAGCAACAGATGTGAGGCAGCAGGGAAGGGCTGCCAAAGGAGGTCTGGTCAGTGGGAAGCCGCCATAGTCGCTAAGGCGATGGGTAGAGGAGGATGTGAACACTTGGGGATGGAGGTGACTGAAGCACCCATAGGATGGTGCCATTCATAGTTAGGGTGTGTCTTCTCACCTCCATTCACCCATTCTGGAAATCGCTTGAAAACCTGCCAGGAGGTTGGTCTCCTCAGTGATGGGCCCATCAAATTGACGGTCAACATTACTAGCGGGGTCACCCACTTTGAGCATCCTTCCTAAGTGAAATTTACATCTTTGCTTCACTCCCAACCAAACCCAATGGCAACAGATGCATGCCCTGTTCCCACCTGAACACAGGGGGAGGGAGAAGAACCGAGCTCTTAGAATTCCAGGATCCCCTTTTCGGTTTCTGTGCATTACATAATGGCAAAGACTGAGTCTCCGTGCACACAGCCTCTGCTAGTAACTCCATTGCATTTGCAGAACCATCTGGTCCACAGCCAGCCCAGAGCTCCTGGGGCTTCCGGCCTCATCTTGAAGCACTCCATCCCTTTAGCTTGGGTGGGCTCTTCCTCTGCTTGATTTTCCTCCCCTGCTCCCTGATACAGAAGCTCATGGGTTGAGGTCCAATAACCTTTCAATGGCTACTGCCTTTCAAGATCGGACTTCCTCAGAACCATGGGTGGTGTCATCAGAGCCTATAATTAGAGTATTTGGCCTTCCTCCTGCAGAAGTTCTCCTGCCCTGGATCTGCCCGAGGTGCCGCCTACAACCTAGAGTTGTGATCTCTCACAGGCCGGCAGCTTCCTCAGCTGCAACTGTGGCCTCCACCCAGCTTCTCAAGAAGGGCTCAGACTGCCACCTCAGTGCCCGGCAGTCATCCCCCAACTGCATATTCTTCTCTGTTATTTGCTCTTCTGTTGCTCTGATAAATCACCTCTCAGGTCCCCAGTCACTTGCAGTCTGACCAAAAGCCACTTGAGGAATGGTTTATTTGGGCTTACGGTTCCAAAGTGAGAGTCTATAATGGCAGAGTGCATGGAGAAAGCGGTGGGGGGAGGGGAAGGAAGGAGGGGGAGAGAGAGAGAGAGAGAGAGAGAGAGAGAGAGAGAGAGAGAGAGAGAACTGGAGTGGACTTGGCTCTGACTTCTCCAGTGACCTGATCTTCCAGTAAGGCTCTGTGTTCTGAAATATCCATTACTTCCCAGGGACCAAGTTTTCACACGCATGAGCCTATGGGGGAATATTTCTCATTCACATCCTTAAAGCCCCCAGTTGTCCTTTCTGGATGACTTCCCTGTGGTCCCTGGGTTGACAGCAAGCACATGGTCCACCTTCGGCTGCAAGCCATGAGTCCAGACTCAGCTGGTTCCTGGCTCATGTTGTCCTTTTTCATCCAACCACCGGTACCCCGCCCTGCCCCCCCCCACACCCAGCATCTGGTTTCAGACCCTTGCATGGCCACTGCCAGTCTCTTGAACTCAGCGGCAGGAAGAACCTCTCCCTGGCCCTGGGAACCATCCAGGCACTTTCTTAGGTCATTGGACATCATGCTGCCTGCAGCCTAAACCCCTCCAACCTTCTGTTCCTGGAGATGTGACCTGTTTTCAGAATCCAGCCTCTGCTCTGGTCTCTTCTCTCAGATACTGACAGGCCCCCTGCTGGGAGATCCTCTGTGAGCTCCTAGCTAACACAGGCAGGACTTCTCACCTGGAAAGCCAGTCCACATCAAAGTGGGTATCGGGGCCACACGTCCTGCTCCCCATCGTCTTCCCTGTCTATCTGGGAATCAGAGAGCCTGGCTGCAGGTTCCCACTGTGAGACCTCGCTCTCAGGGGCTATGAGCAGAGGTCTTTCCTTCTGCAGCTTGGACTCTGGTTCTCTTCGGAGACACGGCCATGCTGTCTGCCCTGAACGGTCTATCCTGCCATGCAGGGCCATGAACTCTCCTCAGAGCTCATGCCACATTGCTGCCTCTCTGTGTATCTGCCCAGGTGTTAGTGATTCTTTGAATAAACTCTTTAGTCCTCAGGAAACCATCTCAGTGTGTTCTTGAACCACTTGCCCCATCCAAAACTTAATAGTTTACGTGTCTTTACCATAAGTCTGTCTCCGCCAACCACCCTACTCTTCCCGCCTGTACTCTGTCCAACAAGAGAGTGCCCACATGGACTGCCCTGGCCTCTGAGAGTCCCCACAGCTTCACTACTCCTCCTGCCTGAAATGTGCTGGTTCCAGCTCTCCTACCTCTACCCTGACTCTGTCCCTTCTTCAGGTCCAAATTTAAGGGTTCCTTGGTCAATTGGTTGGCTGGGAACTTCCATCCACTGGGCAAGATCAGGTGTGTGATTATTTCATCCACCAGGGTCACACAACTTCCTCAAGAGAGGACAAGGCCCAGGGGCAGAGCCTGACATAGCGGGTATCTGTAAGGATCAGCCTCTAGCCTCTCGGGAGAGCTGAAAGGAAGCTGGCTTGGTAGGGGAGTTACCAGCCATTCATGTAAACACAGAACAGAAACCTAAATCCTCTCAAGCATTGGGCAGCACCCAAGAGGCAGGTGGGCATATTGCCAAGGCAGAAAACCCCTCCGGCCAGGGACTTTCTCGCCTGGCCTGTCTACTATGATGGACACTTAGACTTCAATGCCTTTTTCTTCTGTGTCTAGGTTATGCCTTTGTGATGGACTTGCTAGGAAAAAAATCACTCCATGGGACATCATTCACGTTTTTAAGTCGGATTGCTAGGACAACCTTTCAGGTCTCCAGACAAATGGTCATCTACGGGTAGTTTTAGGATCCAGGAGAAACACTTTTTTTCCCAAGAATTTTGAACTGATGTTTGTTCTGCTTAACAAAAAGGCTTTAACAATTTCTTTTTGGATACAGGGTCTCCTGATGTAGCTCTAACTGGCCTGTAACTCACCATGTAGACCAGGCTGGCCTCAAATGCACAGCTACCCCACCTGGCTGTGTGCCCATAGCCACACCATCATGCTCAGCCAGAATCCCTTTTTAACATAAACCATACATTAAGCCCCTTTTGTTTTTGATGTAGCTGTAAGCTATGTGTTCAGTCCAGGTGCCTGTGGGAGTGAGCATTGGCTGGGGTGGTGCTCAGATCTTCCAATTTCCGCTTCTTTAGGGGGCAGCTAGAGCTGAAAACATTCATGAAGCAAGCTGAGTGTCGCTTCCACAGAGAGCAACTCTGTCCTCACCCCACAAATCACGGGACTGCTTAGCGCTTCCCTGCAACAGCCACCCCTTATTCTCTCCCAGCTGTGGTCAGGAACTGGACCACACCAGTCTGCTCAGGTGAGGCTGTTCGGGTGATGGGGGAGGGGTGCACTGCTGGAGCTGAGGGGAGCCACGGGCTCAAGAACATCTCAGCTCTTCCTTATAAGGAGACTACAAGGAGTTGTTCTCCAGAGCAAATGGCCCAAAAGAGCCAGGCAGGGGCCATCAACCCATTATGTCATAGCCTTGGAAGACTTGGTTTCACATCATAATCTACCTGTGTGTGTGTGTGTGTGTGTGTGCGCGCGTGCACGCTCGTTTGCCTGTATGTATGTATGTACACATGTGTGTGCATGGGTGGAGACCAGAAGTCAATGTTATGTCTTCCTTAATCATACTCTACCTAACTTTTTGAGACAGGGTCTCTCTGAGAGCCTGGGCATCATGGATTCCACTGGCCCCAGGGATCCTTCCGTGTCTACCTCCCCAAAGCTAAGATTGCAGGCGCACACTGCTGCAATGACCTTTTACATATGTGTTGGGGATCTGAACTCAGGTCCTATGCTTGCACCACAAGAACTCTACCAACTGAGCCACACACCGCACCCCCAGTTCCTATTCTGACCATCTTGATTCAGCCTGGGGGGAACTATGGAACAGCCTGACTTCCAAGCAAGGGAGAAGTAACTGGGTAGGATCCTGGAGACTGGCTTCACACCATGTGGAACTCAACAGCAAACACAAGGAACAATTTACCATTCAGGAACTACTTTCAAAGAATTTAGTTGAGCATTCACAGAAGTGACTGTTTTTTGCATCTGCATCTATGGAGCAGATATACCATCTTGTGCATCGTGTGCTAACAAGCACAGTTCATACCAGCAGTTTGGGAGCAGAATCAACTGAATCTTCTCTTGAAGAGACCAGGGGCAGAGGAGGGCGCAGAGGTCAAGAGCACCGACTGCTCTTCCAGAAGACACCAGTTCAATTCCCAGCACCCACGTGACAGCGTACTGTAACTCCAGTTCCAGGGGACCTGACACCTATGGCAAAACACCAATGCACATAAAACTTAGAGAGAGAGAGAGAGAGAGCAGACACGGTTGACTGTGGCCCAAGCACACAGGCGTGACAGGAGGGCCCACCTTAGAGCAGCAAAGGGGTCTTGACATAGACTGTGGGACCTCAGCATCACGGAGCCCAGTGAACCCTCACGTGGCTCGGAACCTTCTAAGGGGCTTGACAAGTCACCATAGGCAGCAGGGTGAGCCCAAGGCAGTACGTGGATCTGGGCTGTGACAAGGTGCACCAGACCAGATAGCTTAAACAGTTTAAGCTTTTTGTCTCCGAGCCCTGGAGGCAGGAGGTTAAGGTCAAGGTGAATTCAGGGTGGCTCCCGCTGAGCCCTCTCGCCTTGCCTGGCAGAAGGCCGCCTAGTTGCTGCCTCTCTATCCTCGGTGTGCCTGCAACTTAATCTACTGATAAAGACTCGGGTCCTATAGGACTGGAACCCCACCTACATGACCTTCAGAGACTTCTTCAATTCAGTCACACCCAGAGAACCCGAGGACAAGATTTACAGCTGTAAATTTGGGGGGGCATAATCCACCCATGCCAGCGGAGTGGGGAGACCCACCCCACTGCGCTCCTCTTGACAAAGGGAGGGGCGGGACAAAGGACTCTGTGCCTAGGAGAGAAGTCACAGCCCTCAGCGTCTCACGCACCACCTCCAGCGTGGGGTAGGCTGGAGAAACCCTGCCTGGCTAAATGCTGTTCCAGGTCCCTCCTCCCAGCCTGCCTCTCCTCCCCAGGGTCTCCTGCAAGTGTCACCTCTACAAAGGGAAAAAAAAAAATCTTAGAAGCCTGGTGACTGGGAGGGAGTGGCTTGTGTGTAACTTGGCCTGGAGCATGGAAAGTTAAATCAAGTGGAAAGAGAAGAAGGAAGTTAGAAAAAAAATTTACCCAACCACCAGTACAGGATTGATAAAAGGATGGTGAGTCCGTGAGGGTTTGGAAAAACTGAGTCTCAGAAGTCTGCAGGAAGGAGAGAAGGCCGGGCCTGTGGTGTTCTTCTCTGCTGTGCACTGGCAGGAGAGGGTACCTGGGGAGGCGTGGGGGCCGGGAGGCTGTGTTCATTTATTTGTGGATGCTTGTGAAGCTAAAGATCAACCCTGGGGTCAATCCTCAGGAGCTATTCATTTTCAGAAAAAAAAAAATTACATTTCTTTGCCCCTCCCCCACCGTGCCTGTGTACCTCTGTATACATGCCACAGTCCGTGCGCATGCGGAAATCAGAGGACAGCCTGTGGGAGCTGGTTCTGTCCTTACACCATGTGGATCCCAGGGATTGAACCCATGTCGTTAGGGTTGGCAGTAAGTGCTCTTCTCCACTGAACCACCTTGTTGAACTCATCTTACATTTTGTTTTGAGATCAGGATGGGGAAGGAGGGACAGGGGACCTGGGCTCCAGTTGACTGCAGTGAGTGCTAAAGACCCACCTGTCTCTGACCCCCTAGCACTGAGGTCACTGTGCTGCCGCACCCAGCTTTTTATGGGGGTGCCAGGGATCAGAGTTAGGGACTTGGGTTTGCAGGACAAGTAGATCGCCGGGCGTGAGCTGCCTGGCGTCACCTGAGCTGTTTTAAAGAGCTTTGCCGCTAGAACCTTCATCATCACTGCCCTTGCGGAAGCTTGACTGAAGTAGGAGGACTTCCCTCCCTCTGTGGAGGGAGGACAGAGGCGGGGTATCCTGCTCCTGACTGAACCATCCTTAGAGGCACTCACAGGCCACAGTGGGTACGGGACACCCTGATACTAGCGGCAACCAGAGAGTGATCACCAGAGCCCTGAAGAAGCTGGCCCCGCCTCACCTATTCACCGTGTCTCAGTCTCCTCCTTCAGAAGTCAGATCACCATAGGGCTGAGTCCTGGGCACCCTCTAAGTCCCACTCCAGGGCTCTTCACCTGGAGAGGTCATGGACAGAATGCAGGCCCCAGAGGTCACCCAGGGTAAAGGCTAGCATGAGTTGATGAGAGTCGATTGGATTCAGGGACCTTCTTCTACTGATGGTATCTGTATCCAGGAAGTACAAGGAAGAGACAGGCAGGGTGGGAGTGGGGGATGGGGCGCGAGCCACCAGAAGAAAGTATCCTAGCTACGCTTTATAATTTGATCTCACCCTTAGGGAAATTTAGCTGGGAATATCATTTCAAACACTTGCATGCTTCCACAGGATACGTGCAGAGTGGCATGTACCCACTGAGGTGAATAGTCCAGGTCTCTCATCCAGGACAGAGCCTGATCACAGCCCTTGGACACCACAAGCCTCAGAACACAACCTTCCACAGTGTAGGTCTGGCCCTTGAGACTCTAGAGAGCATCCCCATCCCTGAGCCCAGGAAGCCTCCTGTCCCTTTCCAGCAGGTTCTTAGAGACAAGCTCTCCCCTGAGGCCAGAGCCAAACAGCTGTCTGCAGGTCTTTGGCTCTTACTCCTTTTTGAAGTTGGTGAGGTGCTCTAACATGAACAAAGGCAGCGTGTACATACGAGCTGCACGCTCACATTCCTAGCCTGACCTGCCAGGTTTGGGAAGATCTGGGCAGGACTGGCCAGATAAGGTTCCTGTGTTAGCCTTGGGAGGAGGGGTGGTGCCACACGGTGCCAGATGGCACAGCTCAGGAGCATTGGCTAACACCCTTGTCCTATTTTCCAGTGGAGCCAAGGAACAATCTGGGCTCAGTCTATGGATACCTTCCTAATAGAAGCCTTGGGAACCCAGGTGAGGTCTCTCGGGAAGCCTGAATCCTGGATCTGGGCAGATGGAGAAAGTAAAGACTTGCCTGTGGCTACTAACCACCTGCTGCTCAAGTGTTTAGCTAGATCCTGCACCAGGCTCAGGCTTCAAGTCAGTGCTCCTTACGTACAGCCTCCTGGCTGAGCTTACCCTCCTGTGCCTGAGTATGCACGGCACTGAGTGATCACAGACATCAGAAGCCCAGAGAGCAGGGGACTGTTTCCAGCATGGTACCAGGTGTTATGCGCCAAGGCAGTGTCTCCTGCTCTTCTAAGTAAGGAGGCCCCTCACCTGCTCAGGTATAGGTCGGGTGCTGGGGTGGGGCCAGGACCAGGCAGTAGGAAAAAACATCTACCATTTGCTGTGGCTTCCCTCAGGCTCCTGGTACCCAGGGTATTGTACGGAGTCAATAGACAACAGGAAAGTACTTCCTATTTGCACAGAATCAGTGGTTCAGAAGTCGCCATTCCCGCCCCTCCCCCACCTGTCTTGGGTCCTCTCAGAGCCCCTGAAGTGTCTGTGTTGTTGTCCCCTGTGCAGAGGAAGTCATGGAGGATCAGAGAGTAAGCAAATGGCCCGAAGCCATCCCAACTCCTGTCACGCTCCACATTCAAGGCTGGTGCTAATGTTCCCACATGAATTTTCAACAGTCCTCAGCTCTGCCAGGCTGGCTTGGGATGATGCCATAGACCAGCTGCTTAAGGATATTCTCAGGACCCCTTTGTATGCCTCCATTCATCACCCCCCTGAAGGGCATTCCTTTTGTCTGAAACCAAGCTTTTCAGAAATAACTCTTAATTCACTTAAAAATGAGCCCACCACTCATTACTATGATAGCATTTTTTATGGAAAAAAAAGCAGCTGTGTTTTCCCCCAAACAAAGTGTTTGTTGAGGAGTTTATCACTGTTCTACAGTTACGAAAAGCTGACTTGGTAGAGAATCTCTCTCTCGCTTCTGCACGTGGTAATTGTAAGGGCCTAGGAACCCTCTCTGTGCCCCAGTGAGAGGAAGGGAACACCACACCAATATGGCCTTCGCAGCATTATAGAAATGGTTTGGTTGGGGGGGGGGGGGGTTGGAGAGATGACTCAGCTGTTAAGAGCACTGACTGCTCTTCCAAAAACCTCAGTTCAATTTCCAGAATCTGCATGGCGGCTCACAGCTGTCTGCAACAGCTCACACTAACATCCTCACACTAATAGACATGTAGGCAAACAACCGATGCACATAAAATAAAAACAAATCAATCATCAAAAAAAAAAAACCAACAAATCAGTTTTTGGTTTTGGTTTTTTGAGGCAGAGTTTCTCTGTGTACCAGTGCTGGCTGTCCTGGAACTCACTCTGTAGACCAGGCTAGCCTCAAACTCACAGTGATCTTCCTGCGTCTGCCTCTCGAGTGCTGAGATTAAAGTCATGCGACACCAGCGCCTGACATGGTTTTGTTTTTAGACAGGGTCTCCTGTATTCTAGGTTGACCTCAAGCTCACTAAGTAGAAGAGAATGGCCTTGACCTTCCGATCCTCCCACGAACTGGGGTCATAGGTGTCACAGGTATCCCAGGGCTCACGGGGTCACACCTGGCTTATTCAGTGCTAGGGATGGACTTCAAGGCCCCCTGCATGCTAAGCATACACCCTACCAACCAAACTTTCACCCCTGAAAATGGCTTTGGCTTGCAGACTTCCTCAGTCTTAGGGGCTCCCCAGGGGTACTATTGAGCTACACTTGAAAAACAGTTGTGTGGAATTGTAGGATGTATTTGTGTTGCCTACAAAGTGAATCCCTGACTCCCTGACTCTAAGATGCATCCTCCCACCCTTGCCCAAGACATATCACAGTTTTCGTGAAATCTCAATGCATCTTTTTAATTCATGTGTACGTGTGCCCATTTATGCACATGCATGCAGGTTCCAATAGAGATCAGAATAGGGCTCTGGATTCCCTGGAGCTGGAGCCACAGGCAGCTGTGAGCTGTTTGATGTGGGTGCTGGGAACTGAAGCCAGGTCCTCTGAAGAGCAGCGAGTCTTCTTAACTGCCTCATCTTAATGTACCTTGTGTTCTCACTGACTGACCTGTCTCTCGGTGCACAGCATCTTAGAATCAGAACCCAGCCAGGCCATGAGAGCTCAGGCCTTTAATCCCAGCACTCAGGAGGTAGGAGCAGGCAGATCTTTGTGAGTTTAAGACCAGCCTGGCCTACAGAGTGA